ACAAAAACCGCTTCACTTTTTCATTCGTCTTCTCTCTCTACTCTTTTTTTTTTTAGTTTCAATATTTTTTTTTATTGATTAAACCTCAATTACAAGAATCAAAACAAACTATTTTAAGAAAAAAAAAATAACTGTGTTTCCAAAACTGAAAACAAAAAACTGTTAAAAACAGATTTTCTGTTTTGTAACAGAAATTCAGTTAAAGAAGCAGTTACAGAAAAACAGAACAAAAACCTTGAACTGTCACCTATACGCCTACTTCAATAGCTGAAAAACCAGTTGCACTGCCCACCAACAGCTCAACAGGTAAATAGAAGCAAAACCACTGCTTGCATCAACCAGCAATTAACTCCTTGCAAGTCAACTCCAAATCAGTAGTCAAGATCCTCAGCTAAGACAGCTTAAAAATCCCAAACCAGTACCTCAATAACAGCACAGCATCAACTGTTTTACAATCCAACTCAACCCTTATCATCAAAAATCATACAGCTCTTCTTGCGCAGAACAAGAAGACTCCTCTGACCTTGAATCAAACACTGTCTGACAGCAACTGGCAGCTGAGCATTGTTGACAAACTCAGAAGAGTCACCCTTATAAGCAGCAGTATTTGCCAAGGCATCAGCAACAGAGTTGGCTTCTCTATATATATGCCCAAAAGTAAACTGCATTCTGTTCAAAAAGGCTTGAATCTGATTCAGAAAACCCAGCAAAGGCTAGGCACAATCCATCATAACCTTAACAGTCTTAACTAGCACCAATGAGTCTGACTCAATACAAATTCTCTCTCCAAGCAAACCACACCTATCAATCATTCAAAGACCATCCAACAAAGCTTTAAATTCAACTCTCATATTAGTCTCAATGCCATACCAGAATGAAGCAGCACAGACCAATCCTCCCCACTCATTCCTGAGAACTGCTCCACCTCCAGCTACACCAGGATTCCCCTTTGTAGCACCATCAACATTAAGCTTGAGCACCCTAGACCCTGGACGGGACCAACAAACCCATATGGCCTTGGTGATCATCACATAAGGCACAATAATTCCTAAGGAATTCAACACCATTTTCTCAGTTTCATTATCCAATACCTTAGGTTTAATCAATCTGACCTGCAACCTCAGAAAGCTGCAAATTTTCAAAAAGACAGAATAAGAATTAATTTGTCCTTCCTCAGCTCTCCTCCTACATATTTATATCCATATTTGCCAGAAAATCAGTAAGGAAAGACATCTCAACAGGCTGCAACAAATAGTTTCCCTCTTGAATACTCTGCACAACCTCTGCATTCTAACCAGAGGTAATTCCTCATGAATCAACTGGAAACCCCCCAAACTTGCAAACCTGCTCCAAAGTGCTTTTGCACACTTGCACTCCACAAATAAGTGTACTGCACACTCCTCTCCCTCACAGCACATTACACATCTACTCACCAAAGGAATCCCATATAACCTAACTCTGGAATCCATAGGTTAAGCCTTCATTAATAACTTCCAACTCACCAGTTTAGCACTAGGTGCAATGTTCATCCTCCAAATAACTTTAGCCACCTCATTCTCCATACCTGGAACCCTTACCATATTCCATGCATCTTTCAAAACAAAATCACCAGATGCATAATGTCTCCATACAAGCTTATCAACACTATCAGACAAAGTTAAACTGTATCCCAAAATCTCTGATCTCAACTGCTCAGTCAAAAAGTCATCCACTTGTTCCAACTGCCATTGAGATCCTATAAACACCTCAAATACTTTGGGAAAAAAAGAAGGCCTCACCTCCATTCTACATATCAGAGGTCCCCCTTCCAACCAATGATCACACCAAAAGTCAACTTGATCACCTTTACCAACCAACATTTTAGACTGCATAATCACATGTTCAAAAAAAGGCACTAAAGCCTTAAAACATTTAGATTTATCCCCAATCACACTCCTCAGCAAATGATTACCTTTAAGGAATTTAGTAGAGAAAACCTAAGACCATAATGATGTACCTTTCAGAAGACCCCAAGCCTGTTTTACTCTAAAAGTAGCTTGTAGTTCCTCAAATTTCCTCACCCCCAAACCTCCCTCAAGTTTTGGTAAAGTGACCTTACTCCAAGCCACCCAATGCCTTTTCCTCACATCCAGTCTACTAGACCATATGAACCCTGCCATTATAGAATTTAACTTGCCAATAACACCCTTGGCATATTCAAACAAGCCAATAAATGAATGGGCACAACACTCAAAACAATCAGCACCATCAAGACCCTGCCCATGTTAGACAACATCTTAGCATACCATCCATCTAGTCTACTTCTGAACTTATAAACAACTCCTTCAAAGTCTCTAATTCTGGTCCTACCCTGGATTATTGGACACCCAAGGTAAGTAAAAGGACACTGCTTAAGTAGAATTCCAGCAATACCAGAAAGCTCCTATCTTCTACTACAGGATATCCACTTTGAGCAGAACATAGAACTTTTCTGCACACTCACTTTCTGACCAGAAGATTGTTCATACTCACCTAGAAACTTCATCAAGTTCACCAGAGACATTTTACATCCGCTGAGAAAAACCAAAGTGTCATTAGCAAAAAAGCAAATGAGACACTAAGGTTGTCCCTCTCCCCAAATGGTACCCTTTTACTAAGCCCTCTAAATAAATTTTCTTCAAACCTCTACTCAGCACCTCTTTTGCAAGAATAAACAGACAATGAGAAATTGGATCCCCTTGCCTAAGGCCTCTAGAAGCAGGAAAAAAACCAAAACTTTTTCCATTTACACAAACAGAGACATATTGGCTCTCCAAACAGTTATGAATAATCTTCACAAACATCTCAGAAAAACCCAAACAAGAAAGAGTTCTCAGCCAGAAATCCCACTCAAGCCTATCATAGGCTTTCATCACTTCAAGTTTTAAGAGCATATTACCAGCCTCCACCTTTCTATCCAAGTTCTCCACCATTAATTAAGCCAAAGCAACACAATCACCCCCACTTCTACCCTTCACAAAGCCATGCTACTCATTGGAAACTACCACTGGTAAAATAGGAGCAAGCCTGGAAGCCAAGATCTTATTAAGCACTTTATACAAAAAAATGCATAAGCTAATAGGCCTAAAGTCTGAGAAAGACACAGGATTAGGCTTTTTTGGAATCAGCACAAGCAATGTGGCATTAGCAGACCTTGGAACCTTACCACCTTTCAAGAAAAAGTTCACTGCTCTCACCAAATCAAGTTTAATAACCTCCCAGACCACATGGAAAAACTTCCCAAAAAAACCATCCACCCTAGGTGAGCTATGTACAGACATGGAAAAAACCACACTCTTTACCTCCTCCTCATAAGCCTCAACAATCTGTTTGCTATTCATCTCCTCATCCACCAACAAAGGAATCTCAGAAAATAAACTATTCTGCAACACATTATTTTCAGACTTATACAAAGAGGAGTAAAAGCTTATAGCCACATCAGCAATCTCCAAATCAAAATGTACCCAATCACCAGATTCATTCTGAATCTTAGAGACCCTATTTCTGATTGCTTTTCCTTTTGCCATAGCCTGATAAAATTTTGAATTCCTTTCACCTTCCACATCCCATCTGATGTTGGCCTTTTGCCTCCAATACACTTCCTCCAATTTCAAAATTTCATCCAATTCCTTTTGCACTTTCTTCGTGGACAAAAAATTACTGTTAGTATTATTTTCCTCAAGCAATATTTTTGCCTTCATAACCTCCTCTTCCTTCCTCCTAATCCTTTCAAAAATATTGCCAAAAATCTCCCTGTTCCACCTCTTAAGATGAACCTTCAAATACTTCAGTTTCAGAAAAAAATTCTCAATTGGATTTTCTGAATATTCTCCAGTCCATTTTGACACAACCAATGGCATAAAACCACGATCCTCCACCCTCATATCCTGAAATTTAAAATAAGAGACTCTAGAAGAAAAGGAGTCCATTACCTTAAGCAGAATAGGAGAGTGATCAGAACCTCCCCTTGCTGAATGCAATACCTCTATACTACCAAACTTACTACACCAATTGGAGCTAAACAAAAGTCTGTCAATCCTCTGCCACATCTTAGTTTGTCCATGATGGTTGTTGCACCATGTAAATCTGCTCCCAATAAGTCCCACATCCTGCAATCCAGCATCATGCACAAATGCCCCAAACTCCTCCATTGCTAAAGTTGAAGGATATGCACCCCCCAACCTCTATCAGAGCATAAAATAGCATTGAAGTCTCCTCCTACCAATCAAGTAGAAAACAAAGCTATATCAAGTCCCAAAAGGTGTTCCTATAGTGGCCTCCTCAACACATGGTCACAACAAGCATAAACCATGGTTATATACATCACCTCAGATCCCAAATAGGAAGCCTCAACAGTCAAAGCTTGCTCATGCTGAGCTACTATATTAACTTGCACCCTGTCATCCCACAAGACCCACAAATAACTTTTAACCAAAGGATTATAAGCATAATGAGTTAAACCAATGGACATAGCCAGTCCATGAAGCTTATTCTTCCTCATCTTGGGCTCCTGAATAGAGACCATACACACATCATTCATTCTCACCAACTTCTTAAGCCTATTTCTCTGCTCAGCTTTCTAGCCCCCTCATATTCCAAGATAAGTAATTAATCATGAATAAGAAAGAGGGCTCCATTCCTGGACCTTAGACTAATAGAAACTTCACTAGAAACCTCATTCAGAGCATTAAAATCAGAATCATCCTCCTCCAATTCCAAAGTGAGATTTTTAGGTCTCTCAATCTCAACACCACCACCATCAGACATATAACCTTTATCTGGTGGATCATTTCTTCTTTCTAAATCAATATCATCATCTACAGACACATTCAAACCCCTCCTAGTAACATAATGATGTTCAACATAAAACGAACTATCATTTGAGGGTGAAAATTATCTAGTGCCATTACAGACATTAAATTTCCATGACCCACAGGAGTAACCAAAAGATTCCCCGTGGCCTCCCCTTGCACTTCCCTTTCTTACTCAACTAAAGGCTCAGCTAAAGGATCTACACTGATAAGATTCGCATTAAACACCACTTCAGTAACATTATTTCTGATACCATCCATCAGAATAGGCACTACCTCATCAATACCAGCCACCTCATCTAGCAAAACACCTACACTTTCAGTTCCATTCCTCTTTTGTGCTTCCTGTTCCTTTCCCCATTAACATTCCCATTAGAAAATTCTCCCAACTCAATATTCACAACCGGGACTCTATCTTATTGTTCCTCCAACACCTCAAATCTATTCTCCATCTCTACCTCTTGAACAACAGTCCTCTGTCTAAAAGGCATTTTACCTTTGTTTCTACGAACCTCAATCATCTCATCCCTCCCGGTATCCCTGTTCTCCACCTCATAAATCCCCTTATCATGCCTCTTACCTTCACTCTAAAGCAAGATACCATCACCTCCCTCCTGTTTCTTCTTCCAACAAATCACAGAATCATGTCCCTATTTCAAGCAGTTAGAACAGTACATAACACTTTTCTCATACACAATCTTCTACCATCGACCACTCAAACCCCCCATGTCTAACCATAACCTTCTTGGGTTATTAGCCAACAGATTGACCTCAACACAAGCTCTCGCTACACCAGAGCGAGTTAAATTCAAAGTAGCCTTATCAATAACCAAAATGCGACCAATAGGGCTTAAGATATCCCTCAAATTATCCACATTAAACAAATGAATAGGGAGACCTGGTAAGGAAACCTAAACTAGTACAACTGGTGGCTCAATACTAGGAAGAAACTCCGGGAACCCCTTGAAGAACCTAAATAGAAAACCTTCTATATAGGTAGCGTCCTTAAGCCACATATGAACATAATCCTTATATGATTCAAAACAAATTAAGATGTGCCTTGGATCTAGGATTCCAACATGAAAATCATCTTTAGGTTTCCATCTGGTAATGATAAACTCACGAATTACGCCTAGAGATGGCTTACCATATGCGTATTTCCCAATTAGAGTTTGCTGGAATTTGGATGACAGCTCCTGAGTCTCTTCAGATGTCCAATATATACCAGGTTCGTCATTATTAAAAACAACTTTTTTCACAGCCTTTAAAACATTCGATATAGCAGGCAAAGCCTTCGCAGAAGCCATCGCATTCATCTCAAATCCAAGAACACTCTGCAATCTGGATACATCAGATTCACATACTTTCTCACCGCCAAACAAAGGAATTTGACCAACAAAAGTAGTATGAGTATTCATTGAGTGACCAATCAATGGGATTCAAACCGAAGAAGGAAATTGAGTAATCGACGAAAAATGAGTAATTGAAGGAATTTCAAGCACTGACGATGTTTGAGCAATCGCAGGGATAGAAGGAGGCATCACACACAATTCCTCACCACCAAGGGGATTCACAGAAGAACCCAAGCCATTAACAGATCTAGAACTAGTGTTCATAGAAGTAGAAGTTTTATTGAACAAGGAGGCAAAATTACGAGTAATATGCAGAGGTTGGGTGGAATTTGTTTCTGATTTTGATCTGAATTCATGTTAAGACACAATAATCCAGTAAAAATTGCAAACTTTAGTGAGAAATCCAAGGAAAATGGAGTAGAATCGAAGTCTTGCAAAAGAAGTCTAGCTTCTCTCTCTAAAACAGAAATAACTGCCCCCACTCTCTCTACTCTTTGCCTCCTCTTTTCCCTTGCGATTCTAGCTTTCTTAGTCTGTCTAGAGTTTTGCTGAAGAAAATTTTCTCAATTTGACTTCAAAGATTCTGTGAGGCTTACTTTTCGATTATGCTTTGGGCTTTGGTTTGTCACCTCACCCTTGATTAGGATTGTTCTTTGGCTCTTACTCACTTCTTCATTCTGGATCCTCGAATTTGAGGTGGTTGTACTTTTGAATTTTTCATTTTTGCTATTTTAGGAATCAGGGTTGTTTTTTGTCTTAACTTCCCCTTTTTTTGCATCCTTACTCCACTGTTAGGTTCTTTTTCGTTGGTCGCTGTTGTCTCAACCCCTTGATTCTTAGGGACTATTTTGCTAATGTTCCCCCTTTACAGCTCTTTCAATCTTGCTTTCTCCCATCCAATTATGTCTACCTGTTTCGAAGCTACATTCTCATTTGTTTCCCTCATGGATGACATATTTTTTGAAAAAGACGTCAATTTGGGAGACGTGGAGTGAGGAGATTGATAACTTTCCTGGTGTCGAATCTATCGATCTCGAGGAAGAAGCTGAGGATCTCCCTTTGTCATCCTCCCTTGTGCCTCAGAAATCCCAGAAGGGTAAAGCCAAAATGAGTGGTATTGAGATTTTTGGAAACGCTGAAGGTGTAGGGATTGTCCTTAGAGCTTCAGAACTTGTGGGTTTCAGGGAGGTCACCCCTCCTTATATGAAGGTTTTATCTGCTCGTTTCAGTTTTCCTCATAGTTTGCAGTATTGGTGTCCAGACATGGACACTCGATATGACTCCCCAATCCCCAAGAAGGTCTGCTTTTTCGTGGCTACTTTTGAGAACGGCCTTCGTTTCCATTACACCCTTTTCTTAAGAGCGTCCTTCAACACTTTAATGTCTGCCTTGTTCAATTTTCCCCAATTGTTGGGGGTGTTCTGGTGGGCCTCCTCGTTTTCTTCAAGAAGCACGAGCTTGGGGTTCCCACTATGCCTTTGCTCATGAAATTTTTCAATGTCAAGTATATTCCTTCTAACGGCTTCTTGTACATTGCCAAATGGGTAAAAGCTTAGGTCATCATCACTAACCTCCTAAACTCCCACAAGGGTTGAAAAAAACTCTTCTTCTTTCTGTGGGGTAGAGAATGGGAATATAATTCTAAAGATGTGGCTGACACCTTACCAGTACCTCGGGCTTGGTCTGCCCCTGATAACTTAGGTAAGCCCTGCTTGAGTAAGCCTGGAACGGCCTTGATGCTTTATTCTATTGACCTTGTTCTGCTCATTTCATTTCACTTTTAAGATATTCGACCCAATCTCAGTGTTGAGGATAGGCAAATTCTGCTGAAGCTCAGAGGATTGTGATCCAGAGAAATATTTTGAGCTCATTAAGCCCAAAGTGCCTTATTGAACTTGGGTTTAGTCCTCTAGAGGTGAGGGTTAAGACTCTCATCCCAATTTTTATAGCTGGAGCAAAGGAAGTGGCAGATAATATTTCCTCCTTTTCTTAATTTCTATCTCACTTCTTCCTTTTTTATTTATTTGTCTTAAGCTTCTAGGTTTCCTCGATGGAACCATCTACAAAGGATTTTAGGGCAAAGATCAGTCAAATGAAGAGAACTAGAAGTGGAGGCAAGCCCAAGGTAGAGGTCGGGTTAGGAAGTGGTGTTGCCTCTTCAGCCAAGATACCAAGGTTAGAGTGCCTCCTGCTTCTCCTCCCTCATCCCAAGTGGCTCTTGTTCCATTGCCGAGCTCTTCAAAGATCATACAAACCTCACTTTCTCGAGGGATTGTGACTTCCTCATCTAGAGGGGTTCTTGAGCAAGTTGATGTTTCAACTTCTCCTTCTTCGGCGAAGGTCGAGGGAGCTTTGGAGTTAGTTGTCCATATCTTACGTAGGCCTTCTCTTCCCAAGCCTGCTAAGAAGACTCATCTCTTACAAGTAGAAGGTGTGAAGGTTGAGAAAGGCAAGGGTCACTTATTGATAGTGTGTAGCTTGCTACTGAGGCTATTGCTTCAATAATCCCTGAATCTAATATCCAGAGAGCTGCCACCATGCCCCTTGAAACTTCAATTTCCACCATCCTATAAGATGCTACTTCAATAAGTTTTGGTTTCTCAAAATTTTATTTTTGTCTTGTGTCATCCCCTTGTACTAACTTTAGCATTTAGGTCGTGCTTTCTCCTAGCTTGCCATTCATGTGAGTGGTTTGCTGAAGCGGATCAAGGTTCTAGGGAGCTCTGCCAAAGCTTCAAAGACTTTCAAGCTCAGAGTGGCCAAATTGACTTTTGCCAATAACGATCTCCAAGCTCAAATCTAGGGCAGGAGGAGAGACAAAACTTATATTATTAAGGGATTAGAGGCCGAGAAGGAAAGGATTGAGGAAAAAGATAAGAAGACCAAAGAAGAGCTTAAGAAGACCAAGGAGGAGCTCAAGCTGAAAACTGATGACTGGGTAGGCCAACAAGGAGGCCTTCAAGACTTTGGGTTCTTATGTGGGTATGAAAAGGGAATATGACATTCTGGTAGAAGCGAATGACACTCTTCGGAGTGAGCTTGAGGTGCAAAGAGCTGGTGTTAAGTAGAAAGACGCTCTGGTTGCTAAGCTGGCAGATGATGTCACGACCAAGTGGGCTATTGAGTACCTTGCTTTTCAAAGTCAAGCCATGCGGAGGTATTCGGATTTGGTTTTGTGACTTTGACCCTCTTCCGATGAGAAGAGGTATCAGGTGCTGAAGAAGAAGCTGGGGCTTTAGCTTCATCAGCTTCTGAGCTTCATCCTGAAGGCACTGAGGTACCTCCTCCTACTGCCGAGTCCTGGCCCAAGAGGTTTCCCCTGCGCCAACTATTTCTGCAGTCCTTGTCCC